GGTGTTAATGCAAGGACGAAAGCTAAGTCAATTCCCTAGTTATTTTGCAACATGTGCTGTATTTAAAGATCATCATCACCTTACTAGGTAGAATAAAAGATTTCAGCCTTAATTGTGAAGTCATGTGTGTAAAGGCCCATAATAGTGTCTGGATATTACTTTGTAGAAGTTATTTTCTCTGTATTTATTTTTAAACCAGTTTAATGAGGGAGGGTTGCTTGTTTGAAAACTTAAATTACAGTTTTTGTTTAGTGTGTCATGTTTGAAAACACCACTGAAAGCCAACGACTGTCCTCGTAATGAGTATTTTTCTAACACATTAATGATGAGTGTGAAATACTGAAAGGTAGTTTTGTAAGGAAATGTGAACAGTCTTGTAGAAGAATATTGTGCAGTGGTTTTCCTTACCACCACTCTTGTGTTCTAGGAATGAAACTATTCTTCTGTCTGTTGTGATTGATTCTTAATACTGTCCTCTTAGCTGGCTGGCTGAGATGAGAACTGCAGTAGATACACTTTGAACCATCACCACTTCTAGATCATTTCCCTGCACAAACATTGCTAAGTATTCACTTTATGCATTAATGCTGAAGTTATAAGCAAAATACACTAGCTCTCTGTAAAATAATACCAAGCATTTCTAAATCTCAAAAGATTAATGGGGGACATGACCTTTTCCAGAACTAAGGCTACTCTTCATTAGGCATGCTACATCAATTTTATATTGATCAAGAATATTTTAATATGTAGAGTAAGTTATTTGCAAGTGTATTTTGTATATTACAAGACCTTGCAAAAGTGTGTTATTAGTATTAGGAGATAGGCTGCTAAGGACTTTGATGGAACATCAGTTATTTGTAAATGTATTATGAACTTGAATGTGAAGGTTTTAAATAAATTTAGATTATACTGGGAGCACTGCTTTATAAGTGAAGCTATTTAACACCTCACTCTTGGTTGGACTTTCCATCTTAAGTTTCATCATCACTTGGTGTTTGACTGAAACAGTAATGAATTGGGTGATTTTTGGCTTTATGTTGTGCTTTTTTCAGAGTTCACTTTCAGTTCTTTTACTGAAGTAGGCATACAAGGGTAAACAGAGACTGTTAAATTTTTATTGTCAGCTTGAAGGCAAACTCTGTAACTGACGAGGTAGGAAGCTGCCTGCCAGTTG